CTTTTTTTTTTTTTTTTTTTTTTTTTAATTTTTTTTTCAACGTTTTTTATTTATTTTTGGGACAGAGAGAGACAGAGCATGAACGGGGGAGGGGCAGAGAGAGAGGGAGACACAGAATTGGAAACAGGCTCCAGGCTCCGAGCCATCAGCCCAGAGCCTGACGCGGGGCTCGAACTCACCGACCGCGAGATCGTGACCTGGCTGAAGTCCCGTCTGCGCCACCCAGGCGCCCCTAGAGTTCCTCTTCTGTAAACTGCTTGTTTATATTCTTTGCCCTCCCCTTTCTACTTAAGTGTCTTTTTCTTATTAATTTGTAAGGGCTTTTTAAAGAATAGGGATGTAAATCCTTAGTCATATGTGGAAACACATCATTTTCCCACCATCTTTGGTCATGACCAGATTCAAATGCTTTTTTTCTTTATTACTATTTTGAGTAATCCCCACACCCAATGTGGGGCTCAAACTCACGATTCCAAGATCGAGAGTCACATGCTCTACCAACTGAGCCAGCCAAGCACCCCTCAAAGGCTTTTTTGTTTTTATTTTGTCATTACTATGCAGTCAAATATACCTGTCCTTTCTAGCTTGAGTAAGAAGGTGTCCCTTCTGCCCAAGAACACAGACATTTATTAAATATTCTTTTGATATTCAGTTTGTTTTTCATATTTAAATAATTATCCCACCTAGAATTTATTTTTGTGATACAGAGCCTTAGCTGTTTTATTCCAGATGGTTATTCTAGATAAGCATTTTTTTCTGACACCCTTGTTATATAGTATTCCCACTTATGTATGTATGTATGTGTTTATTTCTAATTTTATTGAGATATATTATTTCCATTTATAGTGGATTTACTTCAGGACTCTAGACGGTTCCCCTGATCAATGTGACTAACTTGTGGGTTAGAACTATCTTTAACAGATGACGGGACACAGTTAGAGAGACTGGGTGACTTGTTCAACATTCCCTGGCTGGTACATAGGAGAGCTGAGCCCTGATCCAGATCTACCTGATTTTAACTACTATACTACATTAGTTCTTTGGTAATGGATGTTTCCTGAAAATTCCAAATCTACTGTAGTTTCACCTGCCCAGAATGAAAGAAAGGCCCCAGTCAGTTAATAGTCCCCAAATACCACTAATCCACTCCCTACTAAGTCTTTCGAGCCCTCACTTACCGGAGCAGTGTATCCTTGCCCAGGCTCATGCAGAGCTGATTGCAGGAGACAACAAGACTGGTGATACGCTCAGAAGGGGTAAAGTCAATGCGCTGCTTTGTGAAGATGGGCACTTCCTTCTCTAGCTGGGCATTCACATACCCTACAGGAAAGGAGGGAATTAAAGGTGAGCTATGGAAGAGATGGAGGAAGAACAAGGAGAGGCAACAAAAAAATTGTTTTCCTCTCCACCTTCCCAACATACTCCTACCCCAAGCCCTCAGTTAAAAGTTTGCTATCAACATATCAAGTAGTTTGCTAATCATCTCTACATGAGGGCTCTGGGCTCCTTCTGACAGCTGTGAGGGGTGGGTTCTTTGAACCCTTATAATGCTGTTGCACCCTCATGTACCCTTCTCAGTAGAAAGGGTTGGGCATTCTCCCTTATCAGTCTCGGGCCTAGCAATCTCAGCTCAACTAAAGTAGTCTAGATCCACTCTCTCCCCTCCTCCCTACCCATGCAGTAATGCTCTGAGTGAGTCTCCAGAAGAATGAAGGCAGAGGAAGCCCTGGGGAACAGTCCCAATCAAGCTGTAGCTTCTTTCTCTAGCCTTTATTCTCATTTCTTTACCACTGCATACCTAGCACTTCAGACCCCTCTGCCAACTCTGTCCTACTTTCTACAAAAATTTCCCCTCAAGGCCAGCCTGCACCCAGATCTAGCAAAGCCTAAAATAACTTCATTTTTCCCTGTTCAGTGAAAAAGTTCCCTCTAGGACCAGCCCTCCTACCCCTACAACATTCCCCTTCCACCATTTTCTTTGCCCACTCTCTTCCTCCCACCTCCAGAAAGAGCCTGGTAGGCAAAGCACAGGCTCTGGCTGAAGCCTGGAGCCTATTCTCACTTCTCTCAACCGGGGCCCTGTAAGCAAGTCACTTCCTTATGTGGGTCCCACTTTCCTTGTAGAACCCGAGTGGCAGGGCCTAGATCACGAGACTGCTCTTGCTGTTCTTTTAAACTTCGACCATCCACCAGCTGGGGGCCAAGAGAGCCTGAGGAGAATCAGGGGCCTAGGTCTGGACTGTATGTCCAGGCGGTGAACCGGACCCTTGGAGCTACTCTCCCCGATCCTCCCCCGCAGGTGCCAGGTGTGCGGATAGTGTGAGCGGCTCCCTCCCCTCCCTTACCCGAGTGGGGGATGCCCACGCTGGGGCAGCCGGGCTGCAAGACGGCTGAGCGGGACAGGGAGTCCTCGTATTCATCCAGGATGGACGCCATGGTGCCTCTGGGCCCTCCGTTCCGGGCCCAGGGATTCCAACAGCGCTCCCCCCAGGGATCCCCGTCGCCTTAGATTGGAAACTGCGTCTCCGCAGCCTCGACAAGTCTCTGACAGATCCTGCAATCCGCCGCCCCCTTCTCCTCTTTAAGATCCTGAGGATTTTCTCGCTCTCGCCTTGTAATGAGCGAGAAGACTTCGGAGCCCTCTCCCTTGAATCTGGTGCAGTCCTGCACCCCGCTCCCACCCCCAAAAGATCACTGGTTTCCTTTTGCAGATCCCAGAAGATCCCAACCTCGCCCCAGCGGCTCAGCTGACTCCCGCCCCCGGGACGCGCGCCTATAACGTAATTTCCGGGCTCTCAGAAACCCGCGTTTGCTCGCGTAGGAACTTATCCCGACCCGCCACTGGGAGGCGCAGGGAGGACTGCCGGGGCCAAGGCGGGGCCAAGGCGGGGGGCGGGACAGGGACAGGGACCTGGCCCAGTCCACTCTTGAGGGAGGGAGCCGGAAGTGCTGTGGCAGCTTTCGGTTTGGGGCGGAGCCATAGACGCGTCACAGCTGCAGTCCAGCTAGGTGGTGAGCTGACGCTGCTGAGTACAGGCGCTCCCCTCCAGGACCCTGCTGCAGTTCTGAATTTTGACACAAGGAGGCAATCCCAGTGTTTATAGGCCCTTCACCATCCGCGCAGCGCATTCCAGCCCCAGGCCTGGAGCCATTCCTCAGTTCCTTTTTTGCCCAGGCATTCCTCTCTCAGACGGTCTCAGCCTCCGTGTCCAGCTCTCACTCCGACCTCTCCAAACAGGCCGCTACCCTAGGCCCTCAGGAGAACCTCCCGTTCTTCAATCGAATCGGTCTCTTGATCCTACCTTCACAAGACATAGGCAAGCAGTCCTAGCCTCTCTTCTCCTACATTTAGGGGACCACCAGCTTTCAGGAAGTGACAGAGCTGGTGACCTGGCCGACGGATGCCAAGTGCTACCTAACCTGCCTCTCAGCGACTCCGTAAAGGCTCTTCGGTGTGGGGAGAGACAAAAGGGGCGGAAGAAAAGACCAAGCACAGCCAAGAGGTGCCGGACTGCTTCCATTCAGAATAGTGTTGAGCACTTACTTTGTGCTTAGACTTGGCCTAGGTGCTGGAGTCACAGAGATAAGTAGGATACCGTCCTTGAAGGTCATAAACCAGCAGGGGCAATGGACCAGTAAACAGATAATTAATGCTAGAAAAGCGATGGATGGATTTGTTCAGAAGCTCACTCATTCCACAAGTGAGCGCCAGGCACTTTTCCAGGCTTTTGGGGGCACTACAGAGATCAAAATGGACAAAAAGTTTCAGCGCTCGTGAGGCTTACCCAGACACATGGCCACAACGCTGTGGGAGCACAGAGGAGCAAATACCTGCAACACCTGGCAAGAACGTGGGACAGGTGACCTTGAAGGCAGGTGGGGAGTCCAAAGCGACCGAACTTCGAGGCTAAGAGTGCGGCTCCAATTCAGTTTCCCTCTTCCACCCGCCTAGCCCATCCAGACGGATTCTGTTCCCTTCTGGGGCACAAGGACTGTATCTTGTTAAAGTGGAAGGCTATTGGCCGGGGTCACCACTATCCTGGCTTTAGCGGGTAGCCTACGTGAAATGACTAAAAGCGCCCCTTTTACTCTCGAAAGCGTCCAGGTTTGAAGCGTTTATTGCGTGGTCACGCTACTCTCCGAACTTCCCTGCCAGGTGCACAGAACTGAACCCTCACCAGCTTCCACCGAGTGCTTTCTGGACCTGAGTGGACCCCGCCCAGGAGGGGGCGACAAATTACGCCTTCCGAAATAACTTTCTGTGGCTCCTAAGTCCCGCTTTTCCCGCCCAGAACCTACGGGAGCGATGCCGCTCTCCCAGCCAGGGGCACTGCCCTTCTGGCTAGGTCCGAGGAGGGAAAGTGCCAGAGCTGAGGCGCGGACAAGAGGTTACCGCCCTGGGGAAAGTGAGCCCGGCTCGGGAGAAGCCCTGCTCGGTGCGTAAGGCTCCATCCCACATCACCTGCCGAGTGCATTTGGGAAATACAAATAGGTCCAGCCAAAGGTCAGATAATAAATAATAAAAGGCACATTTACTGAGTACCAACAATGTGCCAAGCGCTACCCTAAGATCATAACAGTCAATGCTATTTCATTTTACCCTTCCCCTAATGCTATGCAGCAGGCACTGCTCTTTCTCCCGCATTGCAAAAGCAGAAACTGACATTCAGAATGGTGAAGCGATTTGTCCAGGATTCATGTGGGTAGGAAATGGGGAAACCAGGAGGCAGTATTCAAGTAAGAGCAGATGCTGAGGAGCTAACCACCACACTGTCCATTTCTCCAATGCAAGCTGAAGGGAAGAGGGTATAGCTGATTCCCCAGGACAGGACTGTGCAGAGGAAATGACCCCCTTGCATGGAGCCAGCCAGCATAGGAGGGATGTGTCAGGGACACAGAGTCCATACAGCCACCTCCTCACCGTCCCCAAAGCCTCCCTCCTGAGTTTCACTGCTCTCCAGTATGTATAGGGTGGGCCTAAGTGGGCTTTGCTTACTACAGACTCAGTACACACTCCCTGTTGAGTTGATGACAGCAGTATTCATTCTCCCACCTTATGTTGAACTTTGGAGTAAGAGCAAGACCAGCATTCTTATTCCTGCCCAATCACTCATTAGATGGACCCTGTGCGCAGGTGATGCACTTAGTTTCAGTTTCCTCATCTACAGAAATACTGTAGTTATAATAATACTTACCTGGTAGGTCTGTGTCGAAAATAAATGAGGTGATCTAGGGGAAAGCTCATTGCTATAGCATAACATAATGTCCAACAAAGGGAATATGCTCAGGAAACTAAAAATGTGGCTTTAATCTGACAGCCGCTCTCAAGTCCACCTACTCCATGAAGCCTCCCTGGACCCCAATTTCCCCATCAGAACTGCTATGGCGTTTCTTGTCCTGGCCATTTACTGGCCATTAACTAAGAAGCATGGGCATTTTGCTTAGATATAACAGAAGCTGATTATGGAGAATAACCCAAACAAACCTGAGTACAGGAATACTAAAATGTCTTAGGGAACTCACAACTGGGGATACAGATCCACCAGCTCCTACCCCTCACAATCTGTGTGCTAGTTGCCACAAGATACGTAAGGGCTGACTGCTGGGCTAGGGAGAGAGAGGAATAGTGTATGAAAGCAGGTGAATTTGAGCTAAGACCTGAAGTGCATGCATGATTTCCAAGGGCAAAAATGAGTAGGCATTAGGCAGATGTCAAGAAAACCAAGAGAACAGGCCTGCAAACATTGTCAAGTTTGGAGGGCTGGGGAGCTAGAGCATCAGGGAGTAGGGCAGTGCAGGAAATGGGACCAGTTGTGGCCAGATTATGAAAGCTATTGAAAGGGCCATCAGAAGGCTTTGGTTGGAGATGAGATCATCTGATGTGGGTTCTAGAAAAATGGGTGGTGGCTTGGGTGTAGTCCACATCAGAAGAATGAGACCTGAGGCAGAAGCAGGCTGGTGAGGGCCCAGCCTAGAGTGAGAGTAGACTGGGGAGACATTTTTGAGGAAGAGCCCACTGGACTTAGTGACAAGTTAGATGTCACTAACATCTGGGGATGAAGGAAGGGTGCAAGACAGCTTCTGGGGAAACCTGGCCAGTGGTGCAGTGTCACCACTGTCCAGGAGGAGGAAGAGCTGGATGGAGGTGTGGCAGGGGTCACATGATTGAGCTACATCTGGACAGTTGCACATGCGGCCCCTGCAGGGCATTCACTTGAAGAGGCCCAGAATCATGAGGCAGTCATAACTTACTAATAAATATTCATTAAACAATTGCATGGATGACCTTTCTCATGCTTTGGTTTCTACATTTGTAAAATGAGAAAAATCTACCTTATGGCATTGTGATTATAGGATATTATGCAAATCACTCAGCACTGTGCCTATACCAAGAAAATGCTCAATACAAGTTAACTATGAGTAGTAATTATTGAATGAATGAAGACCCAAACCAAAAAGAGTGATATAACTGACTTAAGTGAGTAATTTTTAAAGAAATTTTTTAATGTTTATTTATTTTTGAGAGAGAGAGAGACAGAGCATGAGCAGGGGAGGGCCAGAGAGAGAGAGGGAGACACAGAATATGACGCAGGCTCCAGGCTCTGAGCTGTCAGCACAGAGCCTGGTGTGGGGCTCGAACTCATGAGCTGTGAGATGATGACCTGAGCCGAAGTCAGATGCTTAACCGACTGAGCCACCCAGGCACCCCAATTTGTTTTTTTTTTAAGTTTGTTTATTAATTTTTTTAGTAATCTCTACACCCAATGTGGGATTTGAACTCATAACCCTGAGATCAAGTGTCACATGCTCTTCCGACTGAGCCAGCCAGCCACTCCAAATTTGTTTTTTTTTAAATACACATTCTTTTTTAGAAGTTTTACATTGATGGAAAAAGTAAGAAGATAGCAGAGGGTTTCCCTCTACTTCAAATCCAGTTTCCCTTACTATGAATATCTTACATTAATATGGCATATTTGTTAACATTAGTAAATCAATACTATACATAATTATTTTTTATTAAAAATTATTTAATGTTTTTATTTATTTTTGAGACAGAGAGAGA